TAAACATGAAAGCCATATGAGTGTTTGTCAAAAATAAGGGACCCCGAGAATTGCAGGGGTGTTGTGGATCCCCTTTAATCCAACCAGAAAAAGCCCGAGGCTCGCAGGCACTCAAGGCCGCGCAGTAGAGGATGCCGTCAAGCTCCGCGCCCTGCGATTCGTGTTTTTCTCGGGCCTCATCGGTTTAGCAGTTTTTCCAAGTCACCCGCTAAGTGCTGGGTGACTTAAGACGCCACCCCATTTTCTGACTTTTCATAACTTCCAGAAACAGTTAACATGATGACCCAGTTTTCTCGGCCGGCGGAAACAGCGGTTGCCTTTCGATCGTCAAGATTCTTTGTTGCCATGTTGGAGGATCAGATCCGATTTCAAAGAGGAAGCCAAGACGCTTGAAGACACTTTAGCCCTTCTTTGCTTGACCAGAATGGGGTGTATGTACCAAAAGAAAACCAACATCGCTTTTAGGGGGGCGTGCAAGGTAGCGACTGTAGCGGATCAAACCTGCAGAAAACGCTACAATCTTCAAGGACAAAGCATCATAGGCTCCTCGACACGTGCTGGAAAAAGGCTGATTGACTCCTTAGACACTTTTTGTCAGTTCTTACTTGGGGTTCAAGGTTCAACAAGCAATAAGAAATGGTATTTGGGAAGCGCGCCCATGGTCTAACTCCCGCTTACGCAGGTTCAGTCCCGATTTGCCGAGCCCCCATCCCATCTACAAATTCTACATTTCCACAACCTGAGACCAAGAATTTGCAAAAGGACCAACAATCATCTGTGCCGATTTCTTGTTTTACCCCAGGAACGGTGGAATCAATCGCTGAGAGCCAAATCCGCTCCGGCCTGCCCTTGAATGTTCCAGAGCAGTTGTACGGCTTCCAGCCACTGACTGCGCCGGGCAGCTGTGGCGATGGCCTTCCTTCGCGCAAGCGCCACTGGGCGCAACCGAACTCGCCCAACAAACACAGTTTGACAGGATCCTCCTTTGGCTGGACCCCTGGTTGGATTCCATATCAAGTTTTACGTCTAACCTACATATCAACCCCCACCCAAAGGATCCGAAAGGAATTTAACTTTGATTGGCCCTTTCAAATGAGCCATGTCCTAAACGTGTCATCATTTGCGATGTCGTACATTTTGCTTACTCCACTAGCGTGCACCACCTGACGCGTGTGGAGTTTGTCCTTGCGCGACACATGTTGTGGTGTCGCTTCCGCACAGGTCGATATGACACGACTCTTACTAACCATGTACACGGAGGATTTGGACGCCATTCGAAGGTTGATGTTCAATGCAGCCAGAACGGGCGACCACAGGGAACCGTGGCGGGCGGCACCATGTGAAGTCAGCAAAGGCCCGACCATTGGACAGGCTGTTTCATTGTTTACGAGATGGCTTGTTTCAGCCGTTTGCCAGTGTTTGTGTCTGTGCGTGCGCCTGTGCAAAGCCGCTGTTTCTTGGGCACTATGCCAAGGCAGGCTCTGAAAATCATATCTCTGGGCAAATGATTGCAATTCAACAACCAAAAACCAGGGACTCTATGCAAGAAACCCTCACGGGTGACGTTGAAAGTCAGGCAAACGATTCCATCCATTTGGACTCCCCGGGGCCAACAGGACAACCATGGGCCACACCATCCACAGCCTGCCAGCCCTCCCAGTGGGTTCACCACAAAGGAACACCCCCCTAGATTCGAACCTTGAATGACACAACTCGAACTGCCAACTCTGTACTCAAAGGGCCACCTGACCCAAACGGAATGAGTCGAGAGGGGCTTTGTCCGCATGTACTTCCAGGGGGGGTGTCGGGGTGGTCCAACCTTGATCTACCCGAGTCTTAATTGTTAGATGGCATGCCCGCTACGCCGAGACGACTGCAAGTTTCCCCCAGGATGCTTTAGCTTCACGGGATCCTCTCGGTCAAACAAGCAACAACAGATTTGCAAACTATGCAGTATGTATGGTCACGTAAGCCATAAACCTCAGGTTCATAGCAGGGGGTCATCTAAATGCAGGGGCACCTCAGATACTGTAGTATTCCTTTGGTTTTCTTTCCCACAAAGTCATCAAAACAACAGCGCGTCTGAGTGTTCCGAGCTGTCCCTTTGGTTTACCTGACCAAAAAGTGTGCCACAAAACATAGAAGCCAGCAAAATGGAATATCTACAAGAAACCGGCCAAGTACCCACCAAAAACCAGGCCACTCTAGAATTTCCCGTTTCGCTGGTTTCCTTGATCCAGTACTGATTAACAGCCATATCAAGGGGAGGGCTGGGAGCCAAGGGTCCTTGGTCCTGAATCCTTCACCTCCGTTTGCCCTAGGCCCCTGGAACAAATATATGTTCGGTAGCCATAAATGCTCTTTCAATTCAAGGAACATAGAACATGTTCTTAAGCAAAAGGACATTTCCTGGCACATATATATATATATATATATATTGGGCTAAAACACTCGCCCCGTCAGCCCACCGCTCCAAAAACCGCGCGCGGGTTCGCGCACCGAGAGGCGTGCCCTCCTTCAGCACCGTCTGCGGCCGTTGCGCAAGCGCCTGCCTGGCGCCGTCAAATTTCCCTTGAGACCCTTTTTGGTGCACCTCATTCCGGTGGGGAGTTGCCACGCATCATTTTCCAGGGTGTTCCCTGTCGAAATTCATAGCTGTTTGCTCTGGCACACTCGAAAAGGCATCAATTCATCAAAAATCCGGTCTCAGACCTGGCCCGAAGTGTTTGGGCGAAAGGCGCTTGAATTTTCGGCGACAGCCTTTCTCCGGGATGGTCGAGTGGGGATAACCCCTTGTGAAATCCGTTTCAGAAACGTTGGAAGAAAACACGACATAGCTTTTCATAGAAGGCCACTGGGTTGGACCGGTCTTCTCTTGAAGCCTTCTGGCGGGTTCCATGGCAATGTGGGAGGGCTAACGCGCCATAGAAAGGCATTTAGGCAAAACTTGCCTGTCAGAAAGTGACATTTGTCAAAAGATGTCTGTCAGGGCAATGCCATGTGCCCGTATACATGCAGTAATCTATATATATATATATACATATGTATATATCGTAACTATATATATATATTATGCATGCACGGGCACTACGCCAGGGGCATATGTGGTGAAGCTCAAAAATAAACCATCGGTTGTTGCGAATCTCTCTCGAGCAGTGCCTTTGGTGGTGCCCTACAGGGACGAAACAAATGGCATAGAAAATTCATCTAAAACAAAGGACCGCAAGCAACACATGCTCGGAGATTTGCATCAACTCAACCAAAAAAGCATTGGAGATGCGCATAGCCACATAGCTCAAGGACGAACTCCTCCAACGCCCTTTTTCCCGGCGGATAAGGAACGACTCGCCTAAGGCCGGCATGGCTAGGCATGGCCCATGGCGCCAGAAGCCCCAAAGAGCGGGGGGGTATGTGAAGCAGGGACTTGGTGCCAAATTGGATGGCTCCCTTACTATGAGATGGCATCTGCCACCCTGCTGGTTGGTGCTTGGTCCTTCAACACGCTATGCTGGTGCATCATCCGTATTGCCGGTAAAGCGACAGCACCTCTAGTTGGCTTGCTTCCCCTTGGCTGCCCAGTACGCATCAGGGGTGTTTGGTAGAATCCCCAGGAGCTAGGATAGGTTTTGTTGGGAAAGGGCATGTAAGGTTTTCATCTGGCCAGCGTGACCAAATCGTTTGCAGAGACCCTCAATGCCAGCCAAGCCCTATACCTCCAGGACTAGTTCTGCAGCACTTATTGTTCCACCGCGCTTTGCCCCTCGCACTTGGCCGTTGCTTCAGTCCTTGCGCCTGTCCTTGTGGTGGAAGCAGTGGCAAACGGGGCCAAGTATGCTGTCAGTGACGTTTGCCACTGGCCAAGCCACTGCCATCCTGAATTGCACACACAGCTTGATGTTGAAACATATTTTTCAAATCTGATTGCTAGTTCAATTCGAAAGCACGAAGTGTACCTTGATGTGGCGGGCTGCATTTGGAGGAGAATGCCCTCAACAAAATGCAAACAGTCTCCCGCGTCTTCAGTGGCAAAGTGGCTGCAGCAAGCGGCTGGGTTGGCAAAAGAGACCAGAATATCCGAACACAGCTCCTGAACAAAACGAAGGCTTCACTCGCCAAACAAGAGGTTCAGATTGCGAAGGATGCCATCGCCCCAAAGCCTGATTCCTTACTTTTCCGGACATGATCCCGACACACAACTTATTGACATAGCTCAAGCTGCACCTCAGATCCAATGACAAAATCAAACTCTGGGGCTCATGGGCAGGTCAAGCCTTTCCCGCAGGCTTTTGGAGCAAACGATAATGGCGGGTGACTGAAAACCGACACAAAACCTGCAACATAATGGGGAAAGGACCGCCCAACATCGATGTAGTAACATTGTGTCCGTTGCTCATATGTCGGCCAACAGCTAATTCTTACCTTGCAGCCGGACCAAGCATGAACAGGTGACAGACACATTTCGGAGAAGAGGTCCGGCACACCGTCACTCTCCCTTCCTAATAGGCCTTGACTCAAGCTGGCCCATGTTTTTGCGATTCTTAACATCACCCTCAAGGGCTAGGCCTCGTGACTCAAGCTTCTGACATTGGCAATCTTCAGAAACTGTCCGAGAATACACACCATTCAAAATCGGCAAAGCTATGCTAAAATATGGGTTCAACTTAAGATTCTTGGGCATAGCAAAAGCGAGAAGATCCGCGCAATCAACCAATATCCATCATGTTTGGTGGAATCCCCTTTAAACGGACCTCCTTCTTAGGTTCTTTGCCAAGTTGCAAGGAGGGGTACCCTGCCGCAAACGATTCAAAGCTCCCTCAAGTTCACTGTAACTGCAAGCATGGAAGTGCACAACCTCCTTTTGAAAGACGTCTTTTTGCTTTGGAAGGGAAGGGGGCTTGGTACACTTCCATATTCTTTTTGGGTAGGGAAAGTCTTCCGGAGGATAAAAGCTTCCATTCGCAAAAAGCAGGATGAGCTTCGCTAGTTCTAAGGCGCCGGGCTCAGAAAGCTCTGCATAAGCTCCTGGTGAAACAAACGTGCACATCATTGGGTGTGAATTTAATTAGGGACCCTTTAGTGGATATCATTTGGGGGGTCATGTCCACCAATCATTTTTTCTGTGGCCCGTGCTTCACAGACTATCGACGGCACATGTCCGCAAGCACAGTACCACGATTGGGATGGTTGGCTGTGCTTTTTCCCGTTGATGTCAGGCGCCCAAAGAGGGGACCCCCCAAATAAGGAAGCCTAGCCTCGGACAGGCCTTAGTAGTCGCTATTGCGTAGCTCCCATTTTGATCGGGGGGGGCCATATTGCGGGGCTCTTGACAAACCATAGTTTTTGCTTTTGGAAACCCTTTCGGGAACCAGAGTTGCGGGGTACTGTAAAACCATATTCAGCCAGCATCAATGAACTGCTCCTGTGCAATTGATTTGCCCCTTGTCAGTAGTTTCTCACAGGGTTCTCTTACATTTCCCCTTCAAACGACAGGGACTAGGGGGCCCCACGAAGACTCCGCTGCACTCGGGCGCGCGCGCGTGGCGGCATTTTTCTTCGCCGCCCGCCGGGCCGCCGGGTGGCGGGCCCGGCGCGTCAAGGCGAAAGCGTCGCATTGGGCGGTGCGGAAGCCGCGGCCGGTGGCGAAGGAGGGGCCCAGGAGGCAAACCTCCTGGCCGAATGGGTCTGTCTTTTTTGAAGGCAGGTAGGAAATCAAGAAGGAAAACCACAAATTTGGGAGGGGGTCTTCAAAACAAAGACATCCTCCCCATGACGGGTGTACCCTTTTGGGGGTTGGTTTGGGGTTGGTTTCGGGTAAACCATTTCTTTTCGGTAGGGCAACTCAGTTTTGGCTTCTGGGTTTTCAACGAAACGGAAAGGGATGCTGGAAAGATTGGATCAGGCGATGCTGAAGTCCTTTTTGCCAGATCCCGAGCTTTGGTGCGTTTGCGACCCAAAAGAACCAGGACTTTCGAAGCCTGATTTTGAGGTACACGATGCCCAAGTCCTAGGAGAATTGTTTTGTGCCCGAACTTCGCCGCTTGTTAAGGAACTGCAGTCACGGCCATGCCGGTGAAAACGCCAAGCCGCCCTTGAAAGAGCTCTAGCCCTGGCAAGGACTATCATTGCCCTGAGTCCTCCACCTACATTCGCACGAAGAGAGCCAACTAGCAATCACAGCACACATCAAGTGCTGCTTCCTATGGAGAAATTCGAAGCAGCCGACTGGCGACGGATAAACCTGCCTTGAGGTTTGGCAGCGAGGGGAACCTTGCGGAAAGGAGGGGGGGGTACTGGGTGTGAATAATATAACTGTTTGGTGGAAATCAAGCGGAAACCCAGTTGCTCGGGGGCACGATCTATTCGAGGGGACAACTCCAATCGGGTCCTCTGGATTAACGAGGTCTAACAGAGTACAAACTTCAATTCGGAGCTCTTATGCTGGGATTCATGTGCATCATGCCTGAGGATGTTCACGTGCAAATCATAGCCAACTCATCAATTGCAACCAGCTCCCGGCCACTCACAGGAGGCTACCCAACACCTAGAATCCACAGAGGTGCTCACACCTCTCGCTGGCTACCCCCCCAGTCCGATTCCTCAGCCTACAACTCATGTCCGTTCACAAAAACATGAATCACTCTAAGGCCACTGCCTCATAGCCATAATTCAGAGTGGGTTGCCCCGAATGCTGACAGCTGATGCGTGAAACGGCTTTGAGAAGAAAGCGTTCCCAGGTAGACAAATGTACATGCTGCCCAACAAACTCCGGCAAAGTTGTGGAAGGATTTGGGTTGTCCGCCGCTTCCCCCTGAGACTTATGAACCCCTGGATAATTCATAGGGGGGAGGCTCCATCTCAAAAAAAAACAGAAGTAATTCCCCCCCATTCCTAAGCGCTGGTTCACCCATATCTGAAGGCTGCCAGGTTGGAAGGGGGCAAAGGGCGCATAGGCCAGCGAACGGAGGTGACATACAGCCCTGCTCCTTTGGAGGGTCGTATGTTTCAAGATTCAAGGTGTTCTGATGATATACGTAGTACCTGTTCAGTTGTTTGCTTTGTTGGTCACCGATGCACATGTTGTAGTCATGCAAACGAATAGTAGTTGCCCTGGTTATGCAATCCTAGCCGTTGTCATATGGATCCTGACAAGGTTACCAGAAACCAATAAGGAACTACGCGAGACCAATAATTAGGCCTTCTAAATGTAATTGTCGAGTCGCGGGGGAGGTTCCTTATCGCAAAAGAAGGAACCCCACCTCTTCCCAACACTGCAGAATACTCACAACAACGAAGGCAAACACAGTGTCCTACAACAGGCCGGAACCCGAAGTGGTTGACTCTTGTCGACGCCAAGGTAAATACCATCTGAAATGGGACTTCTCCAATTTTTGAACACGCCAATTTACTTAGTGCACCTCAATAAAAAGCTCTTGATTGTGAGTGTTTGCACTGTCGGCCCACTGAGGTGTTAGATACACAGAGTTTCATGCCTGATGATCGGCCAGTCTGTCTGGCCCCGGAAACTTAAACACCAAACAAACAGGTTGCCAACAATTGGGGCAATAAGGGCCCCCCACCCCCTGACAAGGTGCTTCACGAAGGACAGCGGACCATCTTTGTTGGGGGGCTGGGGGGGGCTCCCCGCAAAACCAAGCAAAGCCTTGACTAACACTAACCAAGCCCCCGCGATTTTACAAGCTTGTGCAAGCTCCCCCCTTTGTACGAATGCTTGCTTACCCAAGCCCCTCCCCCCGTTGCACAGATCTGCCGTGGCCAGCGCCTTTGCCTTTCCAATGAAAACAACACGTTTTCATTTGGACATCCTGAGTCCATTGGAATGTGGATGCGTCTCTTTTAGGAGATCCCCCAAAATGGATGTTGTGTTTCCTTTCGGTTTTCCTGAATCCAACCCCTAGACGGGTACCAACTCAACAAAAAGACGAGCCACACAGCGCTTTGGGGGGGGGTTTGGCGACACCAAGCCGCGGAGCCTGAGCAGCACCTCGGGACGGAAGTCCGCCAAAGGAGTTCTCGTGGCGAAAAGCGGTCGCCAGCCCCCGTCCGCGATGTCCGGCTCCGGCCAGTCGTCCGGGCCGGCGCAGTTGCACAGCACGATGTGCCTGAGGCGCGAATGGGCTTGCCTCACTGCCTCACTGGTACAACAGACAACTTGCTGAAATGGCGGAGAAATGGGAGTGGCCAAGGTCCATGCACAAGTTACGTATCTGGAGTTTGAGGAAGGGAAGCGGTGTAAAAAAAAACAACTTGGAATGCCCCCGTGAAGAAGTGCCTCCGGTCGCCGGCTGCATTGACAATGGTCTGGCTCAGTTGGCTGGAAGGAACAAGTTGAACGACCTGTTGGCCCGTACTCGAATGAAGCACGCTTCCCTGGTCCCAAACGGTCGTCTAGCTCACCACCACTTCAGGCAGAAGCAAATTCAAGGGCCGGCCTTTTCTTCGCCAAGGCAGCCAAACAGGTGACTACACATCAACATTGTGCGGCAAGTTTCTCAAAATGGCAACTAGTACAAGATTGCGTATGTCCATTGCGTGTCCTCTTTGTTGCATTGGTCAATCATGGCAGTGACTCATTATATACCAATAAAGGTTTCCCTTGACCAGTGCCATGTTGAGTTGGGAAGCTACCTTAGGTGGTCTAAGTACAAACGCTTGTATTACCTGGTGCCAGGCAACCCGGCATAAGTGGGACAAAATGGCCCGGGTTTCCCAGCACTGACCTGTGAATTTCTTGAATCCTTCAGAGCACTGAGCACCTACTCCAGCATCCATAGAGTGGCATGGTATGATATGCATGTTTCTTGTTGTGAATGAACAGGAGACTGGTAAACATGCGGGAACGCAAACGAAACCAATATGGTAAACATGGCTTTTTGTGGTGCCAAGCAGCACGCATGGAAGCCACAAACATACGCCAGACTGGGCTGAGCCGATTGGAAGGCCAACGAGTCACTTGGTTTTGGTGAGAAAGCAGTCATGGACCTGTTGATCCTTTTTTCCTGGGCCTTCAATTCCTTGCTTGAATTCCAAATGGCGACAGAAAAGTGGCGCATGGACCTGCCGGGACTGGATACTTGCATGATTTACATAATGATGCCTGTAAAGTTGCTTATGGTACCTATACACGCCAGCCTTGGTGTTTCTGTTTGTGGGGCTTCACTATCCACAAACCCCACCCTAACAACAAATTCACCGGAAGGCCTCTTTCTCTGATGAAACACCCTCTACCTTGCTGTTCTTCAAACATGTTCCAGGCCAAGTTGTGCTTCCTTTGAGCGAAGCAGCCTTGAATAAACCTCTGCAAGATCATTTGCAAACCAAAGGTTGAGGACACCGCGAAAAGAAACCACTGAGTTCATAAACAACAAAAAACACATTCATTCACACAAACCTGAAGTGCTTTTTCTTATGTAAAAACAACCATATTTTTTCACCAGTGTCCCTTTCTTTTGGGAGTCGCCCCTTTGTGCCTGGTGCCCGGCCGGGCCCGTAGCTGGCGGAGAAAGCTCCTGGAATCTGGACCGGGTGACTCAAGCAAGTTGGACCCCACGAGGGCCCTGGTAGATTACGAAACCAGGTCAGCCAGGAATCGCCATCTATTTTCTAGCCCAGCCAAAAAGGGACACCTATGAAGCCAATGTCTCGCAGTCTGGTTTGGACGGCTCTCCTTCAAACGGGACGCTGCAGTGGGTCCCAGGCAAAGCGGACAGGAGGGAAACTGCTATTGAACCGCCACCATGGTTTAGTCATATGGCCAAATGGGTGATCACAGGGTTGCTTACTCTGAGTCGGGCCCTGTTTGGCCCTGAGCGCAATTGGATTCGTTGTTTCGCCTGCCTGATGCGGGCGTTGCACCAATGCTGCAGCACATCTTTCCTGAGCGGAGTTCCGCAGTCCGCAAACGCCAGCGCCACTTAAGTGAAGGGCAATCCCACTTCCTGCACTTCAAACATCAAGAAAATTCAATGCATGCCCAAGCCACAAGCCCACAGCCAGTTGAGCAA